TTTAAAAACTCTCAGCGTTTCAGATTTCAGATGTAAATGACAACAGTCCACAATTCTTCTCAAAAATCCCATTACAGCTTTTACCTGGTAGAAAATAACGTTGCTGGAGCGTCGATCATTCTCTGTAAAGCGCAAAGACAACGATGGAACGACAAATGCGGCTTATTTCCTTTATCATATGCGAGAGGAAAATGATGTAACATCTTCCTAAAATGTGAATTCAGATAATGGACAAATATCCGCCACTAAAAAGGTTTTGTGATTTTGGAAACTCTGAAAACGGTTCCAGTTCCAAGTTGGTCGCTCAGATTCTCGAACTCCCGTCACTTAGCAGCAACGTCACAGTACGTGTTTCATTCTGGATCAGAACGACAACGCTCCATGTCATCCTGATCCAGGTCAGGCTCCAACGCGTTCTGCTGAAGGGTGTGGAGGAGATCCCCGCAATGTGAACGCAAGGACACTTGGTGAACTAAAGTCAGAAGCCTATGACGGGGCTGATTATCAGGATATAACGGCTGGTTACTGTTTTCACTGCAGGAAGTCACTGACCACAGGTCTCTTTGGTTTGGACCGCTAATACAGGACAGATCAGAACACTTCGCCTCATTCACAGAGGACAGACGAGGCCGAGATAAACTGTTTCATACTGCGTGAAAAGACAATGGGCGAACGTTCACTCTCAGCAACAGCTTACTGTGATGCTCAAACTTGTGGATTCCAAAGGGAGGCTTTTGCAGCTTCTGATGTTAAAAGTTCAACAAAGGATTGGGAGGGAAGATGTTGACCTTTCTATCTGATGATAACTCTGGGCTCAGTTTCTGTACTTTTTCTCATCAGCTTCATCTGGCTGATTGCAATGCAGCTGCTCTAAATCTACAGACTATACTTCTAAATATCTACAAGAGGCCTAATTATGACGGACACTGTGTCACACATCCAGTACAGATCAGGGAGACAAAACGAGTACATGTTAGGTTGGACCCAGGGATTGAGTATAGGGATCTACTATAGTGCCGGGCAGCCATAGCTTAATACACTAGCTGCCTCCCTGACAGGAGGGAGGGCATCTGGAGAGGTAAGCTGATTTTTATGGCCGAAACTTTGTTTTTCGTTTTAATTGTTGTTTAAATGTCTCTGTTTTTTTCATGGCTTAACTGTTGTTTGAGGAATGACTCTACCTGCGAATCTGAGTGATAACGTCGCTGTCCATTGTGCTGAATCAGCACGCTATATTATAGTACAGTCTGGTTCTTGATGAAATCGCCAGTAATACATTAAATGAGCTATATCTTTAAGTGTGTTGTATTTGTTGAAAAACACACTTACTGTAAAGTGATCACTTGGTGTCAGTATGTGAGTAGAAAAGTGTTTCAAGAAAGGCCTTTTGTCAGAGATATAGGCCCTCCCCTTTGTGGGATGGGTTTTCACATTTCAGTACTGGATGTATGCTTAACACTCACAGCGAATATTCAGCACCTGCGATATTGAAAATACACTGGAAACTGTACATGTTATTTTCGGTCTATCTATTCTTCATTTGATAAAGGAATCGTCATTGTGACTCTTCTGGATACATTTTTATCTGCTAGTTATGGGGCAGAACGGACTTGGAGCATCGAGACGGCAATGGCGATGGATCGTTTTCATTGTTTCATTCATTTTGATGTGGAGCAGCGCTTCGGCGCAGATAAGATATTCCATCGCTGAGGAAGTTAAAGAAGGAACTGTTGTTGGGAATATAGCGAAGGATTTGGGATTAGAGAAGAACACATTGAAAGAGAGAGGATGTCGTATTGTTGAGGGTTCAACGGAGTCATTTTTTCATGTAAACCAGAACGATGGAATACTGTATGTTGACCATATAATTGACAGGGAGAAGGTTTGTGAACGGAGCAGTGTATGCTTGATCAACTTAAAAACAGTGTTGGAAAACCCCCTTGAAATTCATTATGTGACTGTGGAGGTGCTGGATGTGAACGACCACTCTCCCACCTTCTCAACAAAAGAGTCGCGTCTCGAAATTTCAGAGTCAGTTTTACCAGGTTTGCGCCTCCAGCTGCAAGCAGCACACGACCCTGATGTCGGCCAGTTTTCGGTACAGGAGTATAAACTTAGCCCTAATGATCATTTTCGTTTGGAAGTCAAAGATCGTGGAAAAGATGGGAAAATACCGATATTGGTTTTACTCAAGACGTTAGACAGAGAAACAAAGAGAAGTCATAAATTGCTTCTTACAGCTGTTGATGGAGGGAAACCAAGTAAATCTGGGACAGCTGAAATTACAGTTGACGTCTTAGACATCAATGATAACATGCCAGTTTTCAACGAAGACACATACTCGGTACTTTTGGAAGAAAATGCTCCCATTGGCACAACAATCATAAAAGTAAATGCTTCTGATTTAGATGAAGGATCCAATGGGGAGATTATATATTCATTAGGCAAGAATGTGAATAACCGAATACGTGAACTATTTCGTGTAGATGAGAATACGGGTGAAATTATAGTTCAAGATCTGATAGACTTTGAATTAGAGGAAAGTTATGAAATTGATATAGAGGCATCTGATAAAGGATCTGCTCCTCTGAGAACAGACAAAAGTGTGTTGGTCAATATTGTTGATTTAAATGATAACGCCCCTCATATAGAGGTCACATCATTTTCGAGGGCAATACCAGAAGATGCAAGACTGGGGACCACTGTGGCGTTAATCAGTGTTCTTGATAAAGACTCAGGTCTTAACGGGAAAGTTATTTGCTCATTTAATGAAGACGTTCCGTTCACATTATCACCTTCAACACAAGACAACATTTATGCTATAGTCACAAAATCACCCCTGGATAGAGAAAAGCATTCCGTCTATGATGTTACGATTGTTGCAAAAGATGTAGGTGCGCCATCACTGTCCTCAGAAAAAAGCATTAGTATCGCTGTATCAGATGTAAACGATAACAGTCCTGAGTTTTCAGCGAGCCCTTACACATATTATATTACTGAGAACAACTCTCCAGGGGCGTCACTGTTTGCTGTGAGGGCATCAGACCACGATGAGGGTGATAATTCTCGTATTTTATATCACATTTTAAGAGATGGCAAAGAGAATAACAAACTCAATTTATTAAATCTTAACATCAACTCTGAAAATGGAGATATTTGGCACTAAAAAGTTTTGATTTTGAAACACTGAAAACGTTCCAGTTCCAAGTTGTTGCCTCAGTCTCTGGAACTCCGTCACTAAGCAGCAACGTCACAGTGAACGTGTTCATTCTGATCAGAACGACAACGCTCCAGTCATCCTGTATCCAGTCAGCTCCCAACGGTTCTGCTGAAGGTGTGGGAGGAGATTCCCCGCAATGTGAACGCAGGACACTTGGTGACTAAAGTCAGAGCCTATGACGCTGATATATGGAGATATCGGCTGGTTACTGTTTTCACTGCAGGAAGTTACTGACCACAGTCTTTTGGTTTGGACCGCATATACAGGACAAGATCAGAAACAGCTTCGCTCATTCACAGAGACAGACGAGGCCGAGCATAAACTGGTCATACTGGTGAAAGACGAATGGGAACGTTTCACTCTCAGGCAACAAGCTACTGTGTTGTCAAACTTGTGGGAGCCCCAAAGAGGCTTTTCGCTGCTTCTGATGTTAAAAGTTCAACAAAGGATGGGAGGGGAATGATGTGACTTTCTATCTGATGATAACTCTGGGCTCAGTTTCAGTACTTTTTCTCATCAGTCAGGAGTGCAGATGCATGCTCTAAATCTAGCAGACGTGCATAGCTGCTTAAATTATCTACGGCCGAAGAGCTAACATTAATGACGGGAGACTGGTGCACACAGTGCGTCCGAGTTACAAGATGCTGGAGACAAACGGACATTGTTAGTTTCTTAGTTGGACCCAGGATGAGTATAGGATCTACTATAGTGCCGGGCAGCCATGCAAATACACTAGTGCTCCCTGACAGGAGGAGGGCATCTGGAGAGGTGAGTAAATATTTATATTTGCTACACATGCTGATTGAAGGATTCCTTTTGTCATGACTATCTCAAAACATGGTGCTAAAATTGTATTTATATATGTAATTTAGATTCAACTCACACACGAGGAACTTTCTCATTCAAAACCCTTACTACATAGTGCCATGTATTATTGATCATGATAACGTGATAAAATGCATTCTCGCACACATTCACAGGGTGGCAGTATCTTTTCAGTATAACGCCTGATAGCGTCTCAGAACAGGATACACATGAGTCCGCCCTACGTTCAGTCTGGTTAGACTACATTTAGCGGAGAGACTTGGAATAAGCGCACGGTGACTGTGTTTTGACCTTTAAAACAAATACATTTCAAGGATACATACATATATTTCATGCTGTGATGGATACACTCATTTAAAGAAGTGGAGAATGATGGACGCGTTTGGGTTCCTACTTTTACCGCAAACCATGAGACAAAGAGGATGGGAGACATGGCGACAGCGACCACATTTGCTCGCCGTTCTGGTTTTGCTTTTATTTTTCAGAGCAGCATCGGCACAGTTGAGATACTCTATATCTGAAGAGCTCAAAGAAGGAAGTTTTGTTGGGAATATAGCTAAAGATTTGGGAATTGACCGGAATTTGATGAAGCCGAGGGGATTTCGTATTATGTCCGGCTCGACTGAATCTCTTTTCATAGTAAATGAGAATGACGGGGTTCTTTATGCGAACCAGAAAATAGACCGAGAGGAAGTATGTAAGGAGAGCAGTGTATGTTTAATTAACATTAAAACTGTACTCGAAAACCCACTGGAAGTACATTATGTCACCGTGGAGATCACAGATTTGAACGACCACTCTCCCACATTTCCAGAAAAAACAAAGAGGCTAGAGATTTCAGAATCTGCGTTGCCAGGAGCACGATATCAGTTGCAAAATGCTCACGACCCAGATGGTGGCGCAAACTCTGTCCAGCAGTATAAAATCAGTCAGAATGACCATTTTCGTTTAGAGATTAAAGATCGCGGGAGAGATGGTAAAACTCCAATTTTACAATTACAGAGACAGCTCGACAGAGAGGCCAAAAGTAATCATAAACTGGTGCTGACGGCTATAGATGGAGGAAATCCCCCAAAGACAGGCACAGTTGAAATATACATAGATGTTCTTGATGTTAATGACAATATGCCAGTGTTCACCAAAGACACATACTCAGCCGTGCTACAAGAGAACGCTCCAATCGGCACAACAGTCATACAAGTTAATGCAACAGATCTGGACGACGGTGCCAATGGGGAAGTTGTTTATTCATTTGGCAGTGATGTAAAAGGCAAAATTCGAGAGCTCTTTGATATCGACTCTGTTACTGGGGAGATAATTGTTAAAGGTCGTGTGGACTTTGAGGAGCAAGACAGTTATGACATTGATATACAGGCCTCTGATAAGGGAACTATTCCATTCAGAACAGATAAGAGTGTTATCATTAAAATTGGAGACACGAACGATAATCCTCCTGAGATAGAAGTGGCTTCCTTGTCAAGTGCCGTTTCAGAGGACTCTAGACCGGGGACAACCGTAGCGCTAATAAGCATTACTGATTTAGACTCTGGGATCAATGGCAAAATAATCAGCTATGTCGCAGAAGAGAGCCCTTTTACATTAACTCCGTCAATACAAGATAACATGTTTGCTGTTGTCACTAAGTCACAACTGGACAGGGAACAACAATCAAGATATGATATTACAGTAATCGCTAAAGACGCAGGTGAACCAGCCTTAACATCCGAAAAGACTATAAGCGTTTTTGTGTCAGATACGAATGACAACAGTCCCAAGTTTTCAACGAGCCCCTATACTTTCTACATCTCGGAAAATAACCCCCCAGGAGCCTCTATATTTTCTGTAAGAGCGTCTGATCGTGACGAGGCGGATAATGCGCTCATTTCGTATCATATTCTCAGGAACACAGGTTATGAAAATAAAGTGACTTCATTTCTAAACATCAACTCTGAAAATGGAGATATTTTGGCGCTAAAAAGTTTTGACTTTGAAACTCTGAAAACGTTCCAGTTCCAAGTTGTTGCCTCAGATTCTGGAACTC